GATGGATGGATGGATGGATGATGGATGGATGATGGATGGATGGATGAGAAATGGATGGAGAATGGATGGATGGAGAGATAATGGATGGGTGGATGGATGGAAGGAAGGAAGGAAGGAAGGAAGGATGATGTATGGAGGATGGACAGAGGATGGATGGGTAGATGGATGGATGGATGGATGATGGATGGGGAATGGATGGAGAATGGATGGATGGAGAGACGATGGATGGGTGGATGGATGGGGATGGATGGAGGATGGACGGATGATGGATGGATGGATGGAAGGAAGGAGGTTGCATAGATGGAGGATGGAAGGATGGATGGATGATGGAAGGAAGGAAGGATGATGGATGGAGGATGGACAGAGGATGGATGGATGGGTGGATGGCTGGATGGATGGAAGGAAAGAGGTTGCATAGATGGAGGATGGAAGGATGGATGGATGATGGAAGGAAGGAAGGATGATGGATGGAGGATGGACGGATGATGGATGGATGGATGGAAGGAAGGAGGTTGCATAGATGGAGGATGGAAGGATGGATGAATGGATGGAAGGAAGGAAGGATGGATGATGGATGGAGGATGAACAGAGGATGGATGGATGGAAGGAAGGAGGTTGGATAGATGGAGGATGGAAGGATGGGTGGATGATGGAAGGTTGGATGGATGAAGGATGGAAGAAAGGATGAAGGATGGATGGCGCAGGATGGACCGAGATGGGAGACGGGTAGAAGACGAAGGGAGGATGGATGGAGGGCTGGAGAGAGGGATGGATGGAGGACTGGGTGGATGGAGGACAGATGGAGAAGGGTTGGAGGACAGAGGGAAGATGGTGGATGGGTGAAGGATGGATGCATGAAAGGAGGATGGATGGATGGACGGATGGAGACCTCATGGGATGGATGGATGATAGATGGATGGATGGGCAGGAGACGGAGGCAGGACACCAGGATGCACGGAGGGTGGGCTGGGCCAGCCTGGCTGGGCTGCTGGGCCGCAGGGAGGCATTGGGCTGCCCTGACGGTCATGGGCAGGACTTCCTGTCGGACATGGCCATGACGGAGGTGGATCGCTTCATGGACCGGGAGCACCTGATCTTCCGGGAAAACACCCTCGCCACGAAAGCCATAGAGGAGTACCTGAAACTCATCGGCCAGAAATACCTCAAGGATGCCATTGGTGAGCTCCACCGGCACCGGGGGGTCCTTGTCACGGCTGTGGGTCAGTAGATGGTCCACACACATGGCGATGTCCTCATTGGTGTGGCCATGGGACAGTTGGGTGGTCCCTTCTCATGGCCATGGGACAGTTTGGTGGCCCCTTCTCATGGCCGTGTCCCCATTGTTGTGGTCATGGGACATTTGGGTGGTGTCTTCTTCTGCTGGCATGTTCATGTGATGGTTGGGTGGTCTCTTCTTGTGGCCATGTCCCCATGGAGGTGGTCTGGCCATGGGACATTTGGGTGGTCCCCAGCCCCTGTTCGTTTCCAGGTCCTCATGGGCATGGTCACGAGATGTTGGGTGGTCCCTTCTCAAGGCCATGAGATGGTTGTGTGGCCCCCTCTCATGGCTGTGTCCCCATTGTTGTGGTCATGGGACTCTTGGGTGGTGTCTTCTGCTGCCATGGCCAGGGGAGAGTTGGGTGGTCCCTTCTCATGGCCATGATGTCCCCATGGAGGTGGTCCAGCCATGGGACAGTTGGGTGGTCCCCAGCCCCTGTTCGTTTCCAGGTCCTCATGGGCATGGTCACGAGATGTTGGGTGGTCCCTTCTCAAGGCCATGAGATGTTGGGTGGCCCCCTCTCATGGCTATGTCCCCATCTGGGTGGCCTGGCCGGGGGACAGTGGGGTGGTTCCCGGTCCCCTCTGACGTCCCCGTCCCCGCGCAGGCGAGTTCATCCGGGCGCTGTACGAGTCGGAGGAGAACTGCGAGGTCGACCCCATGAAGTGCTCGGCCTCCACCTTGGCCGACCACCAGGCCAACCTCCGCATGTGCTGCGAGCTCGCCCTCTGCAAGGTGGTCAACTCGCACTGGTGAGTCCCTCAGGGCTGGGGACATCCCCCGACGTCCCCGCCGCTGGTCCCTGACCGTGGGTCCACCCCCCACAGCGTGTTCCCACGGGAGCTGAAGGAGGTCTTCGCCTCGTGGCGGCTGCGATGTGCCGAGCGGGGCCGCGAGGACATCGCCGACCGGTTGATCAGCGCCTCGCTCTTCCTGCGGTTCCTCTGCCCTGCCGTGATGTCCCCCAGCCTCTTCGGCCTCATGCAGGAGTACCCCGACGAGCAGACCGCCCGCACCCTCACCCTCATCGCCAAGGTCATCCAGAACCTGGCCAACTTCACCAAGTGAGCGCCTGGCGGGGAGGTGGGACGGGGGGTGACAGTGGTGGGATGGTGGGTCTGTGGGTGGATGGAGCTCGGAAAGATGGGTGGATTCGTGGGTGGGTGGAGGGAAGTTGGTGGATGGACAGAAGATGGAAGGATGGAGAGAAAATGGATGGATGAGTTGATGGATGAGGGACAGAAGATGGACAGATGGAGAGAAGATGGATGGATGAGTTAGAAGACGGATGGAAGATGGACAGATGGGTTGATGGATGAGGGATAGAAGATGGATGAGTGGAAGGATGGAGAGAAGATGGATGAGTTGATGGATGATGGGTGGAAAATGGACAGATGAGTTGATGGATGAGGGACAGATGGATGGATGAGTGGGTGGATGGGCAGAAGATGGATGGATGGGTGGATGGCTGAGGGACAGAAGATGGATGGATGAGTGGATGGATGGATGGATGGATGGAAGGTGGGGGGATGGAAGATGAGTTGACGGGTTGATGGGTGGATGAGCTGGATGAACAGAAGATGGATGGATGAGCTGATGGATGGATGGATGGATGGAAGGTGGGGGGATGGAAGATGAGTTGACGGGTTGATGGGTGGATGAGTTGGATGAACAGAAGATGGATGGATGAGTTGGGCAGAAGGATGGATGGATGGATGGATGGATGAGTTGGTGAATGGATGGATGGAAGATGGATGGATGATGGATGGATGATGGATGGATGAGTTGAAGGATGGAGGACAGACAGCAGAGTGGGTTGAAGGCCACATGTGGTTTCACAAAGGGACACCTGGAAGCCTGAGGAGCAGAAGGTTCAAAGGGTGGCAGATGAGCCCGGAGGGGGGGACAACCCCCAGTTGGGGGGGGCCAGTGGGGACCCCGCTGAGCACCTGCCCACAGGTTTGGCAGCAAGGAGGAGTACATGGCCTTCATGAACGAGTTCCTGGAGCTGGAGTGGACCAGCATGCAGCAGTTCCTCTACGAGATCTCCAACTTGGACACCCTCACCAACAGCACCAGCTTTGAGGGCTACATCGACCTGGGCCGCGAGCTCTCCACCCTGCACGCCCTCCTCTGGGAGGTCATGTCCCAGCTCAGCAAGGTACCGTGGTGGCGGGGGGGGTCACCTGGGTCTTCTCCTGGGTGGTGATCAGAGGCCTAAGTTCTCCCCAGGGGGGGTTTTGGGGTCCCATCCACCCCTGTCCCACCATGGGAGGTCACTGGGATCCCATCCACCCCTGTCCCACCACAGGAGGTCATTCGGGTCCCGTCCACCCCTGTCCCACCACGG